GGTGGGGGGTCCACCTAAAAAATACCCCTTCCACGACTTGCCTGGGGAGATCCAGTTCTCGAATGCGGCCCCTGTCGCGACCTGCTCCGCGCTCTGCGCGCTGCTTGCTCGATGGAATTTCTCTCGGAACTCAGGCCGAAAGCCCTTAAGATTCCTACCCGTTGGGGTTACATTAGGGTTACATTGGGGTTATATGAGGATAATGGAAGAGAAAATGGAAACTACTATAATGGATTATATAGGGTTTAGGGTCTGTATGGAGATTGTGGGAGGACCCTTGTTGGAAATATCCTTTGAAAATCTCACGTTCTTGCAGCCCTGAACCCTAAACCGTCGGTCTCTGTAGGAAGCTCAGCTCGAAGCTGAGAGCCCATGTTCTGCTGCCTCTCTGGCGTGCTCCACCAGCCTCCGTGTGATGGTGCTGCCATGGGAAAAACAATACTTAAAGGTTGCTGTTAAGGAATTTAAATTAAGTCACCATACAAAAGGGTGTATATGGTAATAATAGGGTTTCCTTATTGTAGTAAACCCTATATAATCCATTTTAGTAGTTTCCATTTTCTTTCCATTATCCCACTATAACCCCAACATAACCCTAATGTAACCCCAATGGGTAGGAATCTTAATGGGGTTCCCTAAACCCTGAACCCTAAACCCTAAACCCTACTTAATGGGCTCCTTAACAGCAATCCAGCCATGCACAGTCGCATCCCGAGGCAGCGGCGGCCCGAAACCTGAATCACAAGATACCCATTGGGGTAATATTAGTGGGTTTAGGGTTTAGGGTTTAGAGTTTAGGGTTTAGAGTTGAGGGTTGAGGGTTTAGGGTTTAGGGAGGGCTATATAGGGGATAATGGAAAAGAAAATGGAAGCTACAGGAATTATAGGGGTTCTAAAGGGGTTATATAGACATGCTCAAAATTACGGAGATGTGGTTGGTTTGAGCTAGAAACTCTCGAGTAACTCTCGGTTTCAGCAATGGCGGAATCTCAAAAACACAGATCCTTGCCGGAGTCCTTGGACTACTATGTTGTGGTTGCACGCTGGGGATCCCTGAATTGAAGGTATACCAAAAGCACGCAAATTCATATCCTGGTAATCTCGGGTTCCAAGCCTCGTCTCCTTTACGGACCGCAACTCCCTCTCATACTATGAGTTCTAGCATATGGGTAGCTCCCAAAATTAGGGTCCCATTTTGGTACCCCAAAAGATCCGGTGCAGTAATATCATCTAGAACCAAAAGGGGGCCCACAATCTTGAGTTCTCAAGCATGAATCAATACTCTCTACATTTGATTCTCTATCCACCTCTGTTTCGTCCCCATTTCCATACATACAGCTATGCACCCTTGGGGGTGATCCATGTGAGTCACGCAGGACTCGAATCCGAACTCTTGGAGTGGGGGGGAGAGGCCTTCTTCTGAAGGCGTTCCTAATCCGCTCCAGAAATAAGCCCCTCCACCCCCCCCCCTTTAATAACGCTCCAATTTAATACCATCATATATCAAGTGGAATGTCGATGTTGAAGGGAGGGGGGCTCTTATTTGGTGAGTTGAGTGACAATAGGGCTATGCTTCGGGGCCTGGCTGGATGATTGGGAGACCATCGTTGCTTCTTTGTAGGAGTCGAAAGGCATATTTCAACTTTTTGAGCTAGACATAATACGAAAAAGTTGTGCAATCTAGGACAGCGGCTGTCATGAAAGGGGCCGGAAAAAGTTGCAACCTAGTTACTAGTTACTAGTTGCTACCTGCGTGTTTTCCCTGACCCATAGCACCAGACCAGTCTGGCACCGCTGAACTTACTGGCTCTGAAGGGGGCGTGGGGAAGTGGACACGAACCCTAAGCCCTGAAAATCTCTGAACCCTCTACCCTAAATCCCAATCCCTCAGCCACCAAAACCCAACCCCCAAACCCCCAACCCTAAATCCTAAACCCCTAAACCCTGTATAACCCCCATCCCTTGTAGGATCCCTATAGAAACCTCAACTCCAAACAGTTCATGGCGGGCTCCAGGCTGGACATCTTTGCCGGCTCGACTCGAAAACACCACGCCTCGGTAGTGAAATTCTTCGGGTCCAAAGGGTTTAGGGCATAGGGTTTCGGGTGTAGGGTTCTGCAAGCAATTATGATGATTATATAATAAAGGAACTACTATTTCGGGTCCAGGGCTTAGGGTTCAACAAAAAAGTTGGGGGATACGAAGGGATTATATTATATAGGATATCTAGGAATCTAGGGCTGTTCCAAGCTTTAGCTTTTCGCCTATGTTGGGCTTCATATTACCAAACAGGTTTAAGGTTAGCTGCTGGAGAGGTAGGTCAATGTCGTTTTGAGTGTCTTAGGCGGGGCATTGGGGTCTTAAGGCCGGGTGGATGAGTGCTTTGGGGCTTTGGGGTCTTTAGTTGTTCTTTAACGTTCTTGAGGGCTGTGGACTTCAGCGTGTTTCGTGTTTTGAGGCTTTGGGGCTTGAGGGCTTTTTGGTTTTTCAGAGCTTGGGGCGTTGTGTTAAAATGGCTTACTGCTTTGAGGTTTTAGGGTTTGGGGTAAGCCCTAAACCCTTTTGCATCCGGGACCCTCAACCCTAAACCCTAAACCCTTAGGACTTCGGAGATTGGAGAGATCGTGAGCCAGGCATCTAGCGATTCCCAGCTTCCTGAACCTTACTTCCCAAACCCATCGAGATCAGCTCTCCCCCTCGGTGGCAGTAGTCACCCCTACTACATACAATGTCGGAACATCTTTACTCACTGGTTCTTAGGAGAGAATAAGGGAATATAGTATATAGGGATTCTACCCTCTAACTCCTCCTACCAAGAACCAGTAATTTTGTTGACATGGAAGGGAAACTCCAAACTGGGACCCGAATGCTCAGTCCCCGTACTTCCTTCTGCCAGCATTGCCGAGACAGATGGCCTGACTGACAGCAGCCAAACATCTACTGTAATCTGCTCCCTCCAATACTAAATCCACCCCGCCTGAAGATGCATGTTACCTCGTTTTGGGGAATGGGACCCTAAACCCTACTGTAATCCCACCTTAACCCGCCAAAAACGCCCTTGTCCTAAACCCCCTACACCCTTAGACCGCGTGTAGTGTTGGGCCTCATGTACCGGCAGCCTAGACTCTCGGAAGCTTCGCCCACAGCAGCTGCACTGCCTCATCAACGCACGGAAATCGTAAAGGGTAATGTTGTGGTTGTAGGGGGAGTTTGGAGTGTTCAGGGGTTTACGGGTTTGAGGTTGAGGCGGTTGTCGCTTGCGTGGCTCAAGGGCTCCAGTGGGAGGGTCTTGAAGGAAGTTGTACAAAGGAATCATGTCAGTCATCGGATATCGCGTCCTTGCCCTGTGGCCTGGCTACCCCAACTGGACTATCCCTTAGGAGGGCCCCCCACCCAATAATGGGGGTATAATAAGAACAGAAGAGGACCCTCATATAATCCCCAGTATCCCTTATAGCACTATTGCAGAGTGGGGGGTCCTCCTAAACTATAGTCCCCCTTAAGTAGATAGAATGTGGCTTTTGGTACATTAGAATAAGATGCCCGTATACCCCATGTTCTATCTACTTAGGAGGGACTATAACCCTAAACCCTAATCCCTCAACCCTAAACCCTGAGCCCCAAAACCCTAAACCCTAATCCCTAAACCCTATATTCTATCAAAACCTAGAGCATGCTGCGGTGCCAAAGGCCGCATCAAGCCCCCAAGAGTCTGATAGGCTATCCAGAAGGGAACCGAGCTTACTTTGAGGGGTTTCTCAAAATTAGGGCTACCTTTAAACGGGGATATAGGGGCTATATAAGGGGTTTCCCATTAGGGGTACCTTTTTGGGGTCCCAATAATAAGGACTGTAGTATTTGGGAGTCTATATTGGGCCCCCTTGTTTTGGGAAACTACCATTTGAGGATTGATTGCATGGAAGGGCTGCGAACCATTTCTGCTTCTCACCGCTGATAAACCGTAGAAACCACAAGAAAAACAACTTCCAACCATTCAACTCATCCCTGCCTCAAGGTCATGTAGACTTAGCATCCCCAAACCCGAAGTGAGGTTTTTAAACTTTAAACCTACGTACTTGCCATTGGGGTTAAGAGCCCTACTTACACCTGGGAGGATGATCCGCAGGGAGTGAACAGGATTGCAAGTTGAGTAGTGTTCTTTTTGGTGGTTAAACCTAGTAAGATAATATTCCTTATACAAAATATATACCCCAAAAGGAGGATAGAATCTCACTCTATAATGGGTACCATAGTATCCCCAAATAAAATACTACTCAGTTGTTTCAAAACCCAACCATACTGTAAACGCGTGTATAAGCATCTACTCTCTGATAACCTCATGAAACTACATACCCAC